TCTTTTTCTACGTTATTTTTGCCCTCTCAAAAATCCTTTGAGGAAAATATTATTACTTCCATGTAACTGATGACCAGATGCTTATATACATACTAAGCTCTTTCCAAACTCCATACTCTTTCAACCACACTGAAAACCTCTTAAATTCTTCACTGAGTCTTATTTTTGTATTATATCATCAGCGTTTATCAAGGGTTAATGAAGAAAGAAGTTTCATGAAGAACATTCCTGCATCTTCAGCAAAGCCACATGGCTTATCCATTTAATTAGAAAATGTCACTCATTTTTTTTAGCATCTACCATTTGCCAGGGATTGTGTTAAGTGCTGGGACCACAATTAATAAGAGATGGTTTCTTCTCTCAAAAAGCTTTCTTAGCAGGACAACAGGAGGTGGGTCTTTTTGTAGTGACCACTATGGGCTCTGCAGTAAAACTTCCTGAGCTGAGATTGCAGTTCCACCCGTACTAGTTCTGTGACCTTGAGCACGTTACTTTCTAAACCTCAATTTCCTTACCTATAAAATAAAAATAATAAAAATACACCTAGCATACAGCGTTGTTGTGAGGATCCAATGTAACCATGCATTTAAAAAACTTCCTAGAGTGTTTGGTACTCCATCAGTAGAATAATAAATGTTATCATTTTTATGACATAAATCAGTGATTACAATACAAAAATTCTCTGATACTGGTATGCTAAAACTCTGCTGTTGTGTGTGTAGAGAAAATGTTTCTCTATTAGACTGGGAGGGGAAGGTGGAAAGAAGTCCAGGCCATGCTTCCCAATGGAACTAATGGTCATATATCCTTGAGTGAGAAATTACATGTTAGTTATTTTTAGATTTTAGTTCCAGGAACCATTTTCTTTCTTTGGACAAAATGGCATGCTACCTTTCACTGGTCAATAAGATTTATATAACATATTTATTTCTTGTCTTGTAATAACCAGGAAATTTACAGCCAAATTTAATGCTTTATTTAAAGAGATTATACAAGTCTAGAATTTGATAAATATCCTTGATGATTTTTAACTTTCTTTTTAACTTTTAATAGGGTTACTATAAAGAGTCTTTTATTTCGAAAGATTCTTTGGAATTAGATTATTACAAATAATCTGAAAATAGTCTTCCTCTAAGAACTCTGTGTAAATTAAATAATTTTTTAAATTACAGGTGCCATCAATAGACGAAAAGAGTTCCCGTACAGGATACCATTAGATTTGGTTCCCAAGACAAAAGTCAAAAGGATTTTGAGTGTAAAAGGTAAACTAACAAATGCCATTTTTATTTCTTATTTCACTTATTGCTTCAAACAAAAATAAAATATCCTCATAATATTCTATTTCTCTGATACCTACTTAATAGCACACACAAATTCACCTCTTGGGGTGCCCTACGCCCTCCACTCCCACCGTCAAACCCTTGATCACTTTCCAACTATATTCTTCTGCTGGCCTGATTTGGATGGAGATTCATTCTCCCATGATGGAGTGCAGGGGCTGTTATTGGCCCAAAGACCTCTCTAAAATGGGACTGCTGCTACTTCTAGACTTAAAGAACTTAGTGGTCAGTCCTGTTACACAGAAGGCTTTATGACCTGCAAATGTCCTCAAGAGAACAGCACTGGTCTGATGAAGTACCAGTCCCAGAGGGGGTGTCTTAGTCCATTTATGCTGCTATAACAAAATGCTTGACAAGGGTAATTTGTGAGCATCAGAAATTTATTTCTCATAGTTCTGGAGGTTGGGAAGTCCAAGATCAAGGTGCCAGCAGATGTTGTGTCTGGTGAGGGCTGTTGTCTACTTCCAAGATGGTGTCTTGTTGCTGGTCTCCAGCCTTTACAATTCAGTAACATATCATCAGAATGGTAGAATGTCCTGACTATGTTTCATCTCAGATAAAACCTTGGAATCACAGAATGTTAGTACCAGAAAGGACCTTTTTGCTCATGTGCAACCCTGTCATTCTATATAGAAGAGAGAGGTTCGCCTAAGGTTGCACAGTGAGTCATAGGCAGAGTGGTCACAGCACTTCCTGTTCAGGTTATTTGCTTTGCTTCCAGGGAAGGATTTGGTTAATATGGTTTACAATGTCTAAAGCTATCAGATTGAATGGGACTAATTTGCCACGATCTCTATGCAGTGCTCTGTATGATATATTACATTATCTACTGCCATATTGTAGTGATATTTTTAAGTCTTCATTTTTTGTTGTTTCTTTTCAATTCATGTTTCTAACCAGATTTTTTCTCACCCCATTTCTGAGAAGCAAGTCAACTGCCTAGATAAAAAGAGAAGAAAAGAGATGATTGCTCTTCTCTCTTTAGAAAACACCATGCTGTTAGAAATTGACAGAAAGTGGTTGGGTCTACTTTAATTTCTTTTTTGTTTCAGGACTGCTAATAGGTGAGATCCTCTCTGCAGTTCTGAGTCAGGAAGGCATCGATATCCTAACTCACCTCCCGAAGGGGAGTGCAGAGGCAGAGCTGATGAGCGTTGTCCCAGTATTCTATGTTTTTCACTATCTGGAAACAGGAAATCATTGGAATATTTTTAATTCTAACTCATTAACTAAAAAACAGGATCTGAAGAAAAAATTAAAAGAAGGTAAAAAATTTATTTCACATAGAAATGTAGTGATTTTTAAACTAATATTTAAATTAAACTAATATTTAAGTTGTTATGGATTATAGAAAAGCTTAATCGTTAAAGCATTTTTACAAAAAAAAAAAGTAATGAAGTAGACTCTAGACTCTACTATATAAATAAATATTATTTCTGTAGCATTTTGGCTTAACTTACCAAAATGTCTGGATGAGAGACAACACACCTGCCTTCCAAACTCAACAGAGCACTTCCTTCCTCTCTGAATGAGATCAGAGCGTTCTGCTTGATAATTCCCAATTCAAGCAATTCATACACTGAGAAGTTTAATTTTGGCCACAGAGCATATGCTTGCTGCCCAACACCAAAGGAAGTTTAATGTCCCCAGGGGCTGATAAAGCACTCTTTGAGTAGGAATGAGATCAGTAAAGCACTGTGTTCCTTCTCTGGTGCCTCTTAGGGTTGGTGAGCATCATGTCGTTCCGAAACGCTGACCATTCTTACAGCATGTGGAAGGGTGGAGGTGCTAGCACTTGGTAAGTCAAAGGTTTTGACTTGTATTTTCATATAGTGGTTGATTAACCAAAGAATAACAACCGTAATGGAAACTCTAGTCCTCCAGTTGCTCAGGCTAAAAGCCCAGTCATCCTTTACTTCTCTCTTTCTCTTACAATCCACATCTGATGCAGAAAATATATTTGGCTGCACCTTCAAAATATATCCTGAATTTGACCACTTCTCACCAATTCCACCACAACATCCTTGTCCAACCTACTTTTCTCTGTCACTTGGCCTCAGCCCTTGAACCTCTCCAGTCTACCTTCCACACAGCAGCCGGAGTGACCCTGTTAAAACATAAGTTAGGTCATGCCACTCTACACCGTTCGGGAGGTTCCCATCCTACCCAGGATGAAAACCAAACTTGATCATGATGTGATCTACAAAGCTTTACATGCTCTGGCCCACCTCACCACTCCAACCTCATATTCTACACTTTCTTTCATTCCATGTGAGGCCCACTGGCTTCCTCACTGTTCCTCAAACACACCAGGCATGCTTCCACCTCAGGGCCTCTGCGCTGACCGTTCTCTCTGTCTGGGATGCTCCTCCCAGGTATCAGCATGGCTGGTTCCCTTATTTCCCTCAGGTCTTTACCAAAAGTCACCTTCTCAGTGAGGCCTCTGCTATATTACTCTATCTCGAGTTGCAACCCACTCCCATCTGAACACTTCATATCTTTCTTTCCTATGTTCCTTTTCTCTTTAGCTTTATTACTAGCCTTATTCTTGCTTGTTTCACTTATTGTCTGTCCCCCCCCACTAGAATGTAAGCTCCATGTGGGCATTTCCAAGTATTCCAGTGCCTGGTATATATCTGGCACATACTAGGTGCTCAGTAAGGATTTATTGAATGAAGCATAATTTCATAATTCTAATGATTTGAAAGAAAGGCAGTCAGAATTAATTAGAAATCCATATGGCAGTCAGTTTCAAAAAACACTATCATGCTTTGACAAAATATTTAATAGAAACACTGTGCCAGGTGCTTTTTAGATTCTACTATATGAAACACACTTAAGAATAACAATACAACCTAGAATAATTTAATTTTAGATTTTGTCCTTTAACTATTGAGAGTCCCCAGGATTTCACCCTTGGCCCTCTTATTTTCTGTAATCTCTCCTTGCATAATCTCATCTTTGCCCATGACTTCCATAAATTCTGTGCCAATAATTCTCTAATTGATGTCTCAAGGCCTAACTTCTTTCCTAAGCTCCAGATCCACATTTCTAGATGTCTGGGAGCCTAAGACCCTCCACATACAATCTGTGCCAAATTCATTCTTTTTTTTCCTCAAGCATGCTTCTCCTGTCTTCCCTTAATCAGTGAACAGCAATACCTTGTGCTTTGTCCCCCACTGATCAAGTCAGAATCATAAGTCAGATTCTGACTCCTCCCTTTTCTTTTGGCTCTATATCCAATCAGTCACCAGGTGCCACAGATTATTCCTTAGAATTGGGTCTGATCATCTGTGGGTGGCACATGTTAAAAACACATAGACCCCTAGAGCATGCCAACCAGAGGATAACCAGCAGGATGCAGGGGTGGGAGGGGGCATCAATGCAGACTGGAAACTGTCACAACAGGAGCTGGGAAGTAGACACCTGAGAACAGAAGTCCCCACGAGAAGATGCAACAACCTTTTGGTGAACAACCAGAGCCTTTCAAGAGCTTGGAGCAAGACTGAGTAGATAGTGTTCAGCCAGAAACGTAGGAACACTTTAGTACTGTCCCAGACCCAATTCCACAAGTTCCTTGAAAGAGATAATATATTTTTGAGAAATATAGGGAAGATTGAAAAAAGTACCAATATCATTAATATTAACAACCCCCAAAATTAATGACTGTGAACATTTTTTGTATTAGCTTAGCCTTAAAAAAAAAAAAAGAGAGACAGAGAGAGAAAGAAAAAAGAAAAAGAAAACATGACTGATAGAGTTCAAGTTTTCCCTTTAACCACAAGCCTCCATCTTATTTCTGTCTACTTTCTCCCAAGGGCGTTCACTATCATGAGTCTACATCCTTCTAGACCATTGTTTAATCTTTTATATACACATATATGGATTTATGTACAGTCCCTTTTTGTGTTTTTAAATGATTACAACAAGTATCATTCTATACCCGTCATTCTGCAACCTGCCTTTTTCTTTCAATATTTTTTTAGATCTGGCAATATAGGTAGATTATATAGATTACAGTGCATTCCTTTTCATTGCCATGTATTATTTCATTTTCTTAATACAACCACATATCATATGTTCTTTATATTCCCATTTTAATGGACAATTATTTCCAATTGTTACTTTTGTGAAAAATGCTGTAATGAATATCTTCATATATCTCTCTGTACACGTGTGAGAGAGTTTCTCTAGAGTATATCCCCAGACATGGAATTACTAGAACATAAGGCATGCACATTTTTAGTTTCATCAGATTTTGCCAGATTTCTCTTCAAAGTGACTTTAAAAATTATTTTCTACTATAAATTTTCAGTCTCAGACCCTGTTGTAAAACTTGAGGAGCTAAGCTGGAGTAGATGAAGAACTTCTAGAGGTAGCCCAGGGTCTAGAACAAAAGCAAGTCAAATAGCCTACTCTTTCTCCTTTCCTTCAAGTCACACTTAAATTCTGAATTTTAGGCCTGTCTACAAGAGACAGGTCAGTGAGAAGAGGAGGACACAGGAAGCTAGAGCAAGATGTGTTTGCTTCACTGCTAGAGAAGAGCTATCTGCACACTGTTCCGTGAAGGACTCTAGGGCTAGGGCACCCAAGAGCACCAAACAAAGAGGCACAAGAGCTTGCAACTATAGAACATTTACTAAAGGCCAGGACTATTTTAGATGTGTTTGTTTAATCCTTATAATAAATCCCGGGAGGTGAGTGTGATTATTATTACCACCACCATGTTTCAGAGACAAAACTGGTGAGGGCATATAATTGGTCAAACAGCTAATAAGTGGAGAGACAGCCTAGAAGTCTGACTACACTCTTATGCCTCTCTAGCTTGTTAAAAGAGAAGAGACTTTCCAAAGCCAAAATCCCGAGAGCCCCTATATAAAATGTGGGCCAGTCGGTGTCCTTGAATAGGGCCAGTCCATAGACATATTCTCCCTGCTTGGGAGCAGAGTGAGGGATTAAAGGCAGAAGCTCTCCCAAGTTTTTCTCCTAAAAGTCAACAGACTAGAAAATAAACTTCTGATGTCTCCAGAGGAAAAATTAGGAAAAGGCACCCAGTTGTGGAGAGGCAGTTTCCAATAATATAAAAAAATAATTTTTTAAAATTATTAAAGCTGTTAGGGCTGGCCCGGTGGCGCACTGCTACAGTGCGCCGCTTGGGAAGCGCAGCGGAGCTCCCGCCGAGGGTTCGGATCCCACATGCAGACCGGCCGCTCACTGGCTGAGCGAGGGGCGGGAGCAACGCCGAGGGTTGCGATTCCGTTGCCGGTCCCGGTCCGGTGCGGGCGCGACACTGAGGGTTGCGATCCGTTGCCGGTCATGAAAAAAAGAGACAAAAAGGAAAAACAAAAATTATTAAAGCTGTTAGAGCAAAGATTGAGAACAACCTAAATGTCCATAGGTAGGGAAAGGGTTAAAATAGTTTTGCTGCATCAGTACCAAAATACTGTCATTTAATGCATAAAATCATTTGTAAGACAATGAGGAAACTTTATATATTAATATAGATTTCTATGGTTATTATTATATTGTAGATTATATTTCATGTAATACTATTAAATGAAAAAAGCCTATACTTCCATGAAGTTGTTACAACAAGCAAACGGAAAGGACATTCTTGGGGGGGAGGGG